AGCAGGTGGTATCAAACAATTTTAAATTTGTTTCATTGCATTTTTTGTGACTATTAGATTTTAAGACTGTTCCTTCCTTACTTTCACCTCAAATCCAACAACAGATTCTTGTTTAAATACATATAGAGACTTCCAAAAGTGCTATTACTGAAACTAGATGCATTATTGCATGCAAAGCCATGCCACTACCATCCAAAGTGCTCCAATGCACGCAGGAAAAAGCTACTTTAAAAGCAAAATCAAGACCAATTTAAACAAGAAAGGTTTAAACAAGTTTTAAACAAGAATAAATGTTTCATGTCTTTCACATATATAATTTAAATTCATAATGATACTTCCCATAAAAATGTTATCAAATTTCCAAAGTGATGAGAGAAAATGAAATTTTAATATGGAAAATATTTGAATATGTAAAAATAATTTTAAGATCATTTTACAATAGAATTGTCTTTTCTTAGCAAAGAAGCAAACTAGATTTGTGCTGGGAAGAAAGAAATAGAAATAAAAATAAGAAAATAAGAATACTAAAATCTCATTCTCATAGTCAAATAATATTTAAGGTATATTTATTTAAGATAATATACTTTCAGATTTCATCTTTTAATTTTATTTCTGCTTTCATTTTAAAATATCTAAAAAAGAAAAGAAATATCAATGGTGATTCATGTTCTATTTTATCCACTTAATATTCTTTGAAGTGGTGATGATAGATAGATGAATGACCTTTCTGATTTTTGTTTTATGCTCTTCATGAAGGTATACAGATATTGACATATAAGTGCATAGATTTCTATAAAATTTTCAAAGTTAGCATCAACAATATAATTTAGTATTTTATTTATTTATAAGGAAGACAGAGAACAGATGCAAGATGGGAACCACTCAGTAGTTTACTCTTAAAGTTCATCAATAGCTAGAGCTTGGCCAGGCCAGTCTAGATGCTTTAAACTGCATGGCAGGGACCCAGCAGCGTCATCCATTGTATCCTTCTGACATTCACATTTTTAGCAAGCTGGAATGCGTTGCAAAGCCAGAGCTCGATCCCAGACATTTTTACATAGGATGCAAATGTATGCACCTGTAGCTTAGCCAATAAGCCAAACATTTGCCCCAAGAATCAACATCCCACATTGTAGCGTTGTTTGATTTTGTATTACTCTACTTCTCATCTGCTTTCTTGCTGAATTACCTGGAAAGGCATAGGATGCAGCTAAATTCACTTGGGCAGCTGTTCCTCCTGCCGATCACAGCATGGAGTTCCTTAGGTTCCTGATTCCTGCCTGTGCCACACATGGCTGTTTTGGCCATTTGAAAAGTTAATCAGTGATTTCAAGATTTCTCTCTCTTTCTCTTTCTCTCTCCCCCTGTGTCTCTCTCCCATGCTTTGCCTTTCAAATGCATGTATTTATATGTGTACAACATATAATCAACATCAAATACCATAGCCTTCCAACTAATAAAGTAGTAGAGATCAATTCCTGGCTCACTGTAGAGGGTTATAGAACGAAGAAAACAAAGCCAGATAAAGAAATGAATTATCGTATCAATGAAAAAAAGCCTCTTAAATAAATTCAGAACTCTTTTCTGATAAAAAGAGTGAAGTAGCAATAGGAGAAAGTTTTTTTCATTCTAAGATAAGGATATCTAAGAAAAGCATACAGCTACCATAATACACGAAGTATCAAATAACTTCCGCTCATCAAGAACACACACTCTAATTATATTCAACATTACTGCAAGATATAGGCAGGGCAATTTGCCAAGACAAAGTAATAAAAGACATATATATTGGAAAAGAAAAAAAAAGTCTCCATCAACAGATGGCATAGTCTTTAATATAGAAGATTTTTAGCATACCACATAAAACTGTTAATTACAGCTATTAAACAAATTTAGCAAAAGTGCAGGGTGCAAAAGCAGTACATGAAAATCAGTTGTATTTCCATAAATCAGAAATGAAGATTCTGAGAGTTAAAATACAATTCTTTTGGGCTTAGCCTCTGAACAAAAGAAATACCTATAAAGAATTTAGCCAAGGAGGTGTAAACTTGTATACTGGAAAATTATTCAGTGCCAAAGTGAAATTTTGCAAGGTCTAATAAATTCTATGTATTTTTATACACTTGTATAAATTTACTTATCAATTGTTTATAATGGAAGGGTATCATAAATTCAAAAATTAGAGGCCAAAAATTATCATGGTCAAAATGATAATGCTGCATAAAGTAATCTACTATTTCGATGTCATGACTATCAAAGTGTCAATGACTTTTTTCAGAAGGGGGCAAATTGATCATAAAATCATGGAACCCTATTGCACCCTGAATTGCCAAAGCAATCTTGTAAATGAATAAGATAATTGATTAAGCATATGAATGAACTCAAATTTCCTATTTTTGAAACTTATTGTAAACAGTCATCAAAACTGTATCAACTTGCACAAAGACAATTTATTGATCAATGAGATAAAATTGAAATTCTACAGATAATGCTGTTTAATTTTGCAAGATCATGTATTCTTGGAAAAAGTATTTTCAGTAAATGATGATGAAATACCGAATATCCATTTGCGAAATAATCAACTTGCACAACTACCTAACATTGTTCACAAAACTTAACTTGGCATTGGCCAAACACATAACAGTACACACTAAAACAATAAACTTCATTTTTAAATCTAAGTGAAACCCTTTATGCCATTAAATTAGGCAACTGATCTTAGCTAACTCCAACTTGACATCACTATTAAATCACTATTTCCATTGCTTCGTATTTTCCTTAACACCAAGACATGAATATTTCTAAGGTTTACTAGTAAGTTGATTATAGTATTGCTTTCTGAAAAGGGCATGTAATTATTGCTTTGTTTGCACCTCATTGAATGCTGGTAAAGTTAAATGTATTTCCATGTACTAATTTGGTATCTTCTTTTCCTATTTATACATGCAGGGATGTGCATATGTACATGATTGCCCTGTGTGTATTGTATGTGAATAAATGGATGGGAAGCATATATTGGAAGTTCTTTATCTGTCTTGCACTCTACTTTCCATACAAAAGTCTCAAACAAAACATCTTAATCTAAAACTTCTAACATCAACTGCCAACTGAATAGAGAAAACCTGTACACAATGTCAGTTAGTCATAAAAAGAGAATGAAGCCTTGCCATCTGCAGCCACATGGTAGCACCACAGGTTACCGTGTTAATGGAATAAGCCAAAGAAAAACGTATTGTATTATTTCACTCACATGGCAGTCTAAAAATGTTGATCTCATAGTAGTTAAGTGTATCATGTTGGTCATCTTTTATAGTTTTAGATAGGAACTGTAGGAAAGAGGGAGACTGGGATTTTAGTTGTTTAATATATACTGTTATATTTAGATGGGAATAATTAGTTCTGCTGTTCTACTATGCAGTGTGATAACTATAGACAGTGTTGATGCATTGTATATTTTAGAAAAAAGGATTTGGAATGTATATACCATTAAGAAATGTTAACTCTTTGAAGAGATAGATCTATTTGTCTTGATTGGACTTTATGCAGTGTGAACATCAGACAAGCCACAGCATGACATTCCGTTAATATGTGAGCTTTTATGTATCAGTAAGAAGATAAAGCAGATTTTTTCACCGGTTGATACATGCAAGTATAGTGTGCTTCTGTAAAATGTTTTGTAATAATGACTCAGCAGCAGATAAAGTAAGCTCATTTCTATCTTTTATTTCTATTACTACTATCATATTTCTTGATGCATTCACTCCTGTTTCAATGGAATTACTGCATTTTGAATTACCATTGTGGGTGAGAAAACAAAAAGCTGCTCTATTTTATGGGAAAGTAAAAAATAAAATAGAAAGACTTCAAAATATGAATGAACATTTCTGTAACATTTTCATCTTCTTTTTTGCATAATCTGCCTCCTGTGTAACTAATTAAGCTTCTCTTGGGTCTCTGAAAAGATAGCAGCTTACAGCCATTCTGCATGCTGGTGGTGTGATTTACCCTCCCGAGTGGTCAATTTCCTGGTCTTTAGCAGTTGTGATTCAGCTACCTGCTAGCTGAACAACCATAAAATGAAACAACAGGGTTATTGTTAAACCAATGAAAGTATAAAATATTCTTTATTATGTTTTTAGCAGTTATGTTCTATTGATTCTATGTTTTGTTGTGGAAAGAAATGCATCTTCACAATGCTTAGTAATTGAGAATTATTTTCATACTTTTATAGTCATATTGGAATGAAAACTAGACTCATCAGAGTTCCACTGTGATCATGGGTGAGGCTTGTCAGTTCATTGTATAACATGATTTGAATAAAGAATTAACATAGCCGGGTTGTTGCGGTAGCACAAAGGCTAATATTCTGTGTCCCATGTGGATGTCTTGGCTGTTTTACTTCCAAATCAGTTTCCTGATTATGACCCGGGAAGTCAGCTTATGACCTGGAAAGGTCCTTGGGTCCCTGCATACACATGGAAGACCCGGCCAAAGCTCCTGGCTGCTGACTGCTGACTTTGGATCAGCTCAACTCTGGCCATTGTGGCCTTTTGGGGAGTGAATCACTGGATGAAAGATTTCTCTCTATCACTCCTTGTCTTTAGATCTGCCTTTCAATATCTTAAAAAAGAAGAATGAATATACCTACTGAAGACTGTCGGTAGGATTTTGGGAAAAAAGATAATGTTAAAGGACAAAATTATATTTTTGAAAATCTGTTTTTCTTCACAGGAATCTTACTTCAGAATCTGCAGTCCTTTTGGTTTCAACAATACTTTTAAAAAGATAGTGATTCATATTGAAAGCATTATCAGTTATTACCTCAAGAAATACAATAACCATTCATAATTAATTAGACTGTATTCTTGCAGTATTTTCAGATTGATAAAAATGACACTGAAAGTAACTTTGAAGAAAGAAAAATAATAAAGGAAATTTGATTTCCCTGCTGTCCTGGTTGGACATGTTGATGTTGTTGGTACTTGTATATTCTCTTGCAGGAGTAACCACTGTTCTGACGATGACAACTTTAAGCATCAGTGCCAGGAATTCTCTTCCCAAAGTGGCTTATGCAACTGCCATGGACTGGTTCATTGCTGTCTGTTATGCATTTGTGTTCTCTGCCCTAATTGAATTTGCAACTGTTAATTACTTCACCAAGAGAGGATGGGCTTGGGATGGGAAGAGTGTAGTAAATGACAAGGTAAGTGACAGATTCATTCTCTCGATAATTCCCCAAATCCCTAACATATTCAACTTGTAACAGATACCATCTTATCTGAAAATTGAACTTTAACTTTTACATACATAAATATGTATACAAGCTTATACATATTTATTAATTATAGCCATCCTGATTTTTTAAGTATGTTCTTGCCTGAATTACTTTGGGAGTGCTTATGGTGTCAGAGCTTCTGCTATGGTTATTCCCCAGCCTATGTTGCGATCTCTGCATCATGCACTATACTCTGTCTTTTCCTATGCTTTCTTGTTCTCTTCCTACTTCTCATTTTTTTTTTTTTGCCAATGCTGAGTAAAGTCATACACTTGAAAAACGTCATAGAAAATTTAGTAATTTACTAGAACCAATCTCTATTTAACCATAAAGTTCATATTCTTAAACACCATATAGCCTTACAATAGATCGGTAGAAGAATGTGGGAATTAACTATACGTATTGTAGAATTCCAGGCTTTCTCCAGGGATTGAGCACTCGTCACATATTCCCATGTCTGTGACTTGGTTGCAAAAGCCCAGGTAGCATTTTTGCCTCTCCCACGTTTTAAACAATAAACATGTAGATGCTGGAATGCTGAAGAATCTTAAATTGCTCTAAAAGGGAAAAGTTATTTGTCTTTAGGGTTATTTTCTTTTGAGATTATTGGTGTCAATCTGTAGGTTCCAAGTACTGACCTGGGAAGTTTTGTGCTTTGATAAGTAGTAGTTTCCTTGATTTTTACATTATTAATTTTCTGCTTAGTGATGAGACTTTGGATATATCATAGTGAAATATAAAGTACTCTTAATAGTAGTACAATATTATATCAAAATGCTTCCATTTAAAAGTTCATCTAACCAAATGCGTCTTCTGTTAAAGTTAAAATAAGGGTACCATTTTCAAATTCATTTCTAGTGAGTGAAATACGCTATAGTATGTAAATACATATCATTTTACTTCTAATACTACTAAAAATAAATATATGTATTGTACTTCTAATAATAATACTAATTATAGTATATAATAGATATGTATTTTACTTCTAATACCGTATTGCAGTATAAGCATAGAAAGGGTGGATGTTGAATTTAAAATTCTTGCATTTTTCCTTAATTGTGTACACTATATTTAATAAGAACGCTCATCTCATTTAAACTTTATTTTTCCTACTAGCAGAGCCAACAAATAAATACTACAAGAAATATGACCAGTTTTACATGCATTGCTTCTAGGCTACTTCAGCATTTCCATTACTTTTTGTTAATTTATGTTTTCCTTTGCCATATAGTACACTGGTTTTTCATTTATGCAATCTCTTCTTACCCACCTTGGTGCACATACTCTCTCACACAATTTCTTGAGTAAAATATTAAATAGTCCTATACAAATGTTATAAATTTGAATTACAGTGTTTTGTCGAATAAATGCACAAGTAGAAATATATCGGTGTATTATCTTTAATGCTGGGGGTGTCAATCAAATTGACAATGCAATTTAGCATGTCAAATGATGTGACTTTTCAGTTGCTGAGCTTGAAAAAAATGAAGGTACTTTTAAATGAAAAAGGTTTTTCAAACTGCATTTAAAAAACAACAGCAGTACCGATGAATATCTAGTTTATGTATGTGTCAAATCACACATAAGCAAGATAAATTCATGTCACAACATCTGGTTTATCAATGTAATAGGAAGACAATATTGTTTATGATACTTCAATTCATGTGGTTTAATTAAGAAAACAACGACAGTCTTAATATTTGTTCTCATTCGCTTTTTTGTGACAAGACTGAGTAGTACAATGGCCATAACTTTAGTAAATATTTGAAAACTATTTGTTGAATCTAAGAATTAAATGAATTACAGATCTTAAATTCTGGAAAGGCTTTAAAAGCTTTATAAGAAAGAGTTTATGAAGAACCACCTTAACCATTTTATGAATCAAGGTATTTTCAAATTTTCCTCGGAACAGCCATGTCCCTAGAACAAAACAGAAATTTGGTAGATTGCACAAAAGACTGCTAGATTTATAAAAGATAGTACAGTAACACTCCTGGCTTCATTTTTGAATTTTTATCCCTTAGATCATTTTCATGCGCTTCAGACTAATCTGTCTAGCAAATGTCCTTCATTTTTGCATTAGGAAACCTGTAAACACATTTAAATTATTTGTGAATTCAAAGAGCATATCAAAATTCTTAGGATTTACAAATGGAACGTATAAATTTGTTTTGTAGAAATAATGACTCAAAGACACATACCAATAATTGCGTTCAGAAAAAAAGAAGTATGTATTTAACATTTATGTATAGATTGTCTAAAGGTTGATTATTCTCTGATATTGGTTAAAACTAGCTTTCACAAGCAAATTAATAAACCCACTTACTTATATTTAAGCTACTTTCAAACCCTAAGTTAGGCAACAAAGAAGACTTTGCTTTCTCCTTGGGCAGAGTCATGTCTGTTTCAAAGTAAAACAACAAAACCTTCTAAAAGTATAGTCCAGGGTCACGTAAGCTGACTCCAGATTTACTTGCTATTTCATATTCAAACGTTATCTACGCCACTCCCAAATTCTGGAAGTGTCTTTCTTACTCTGTATTCCTCCATTTGCTGAATGCTAATCCTTTCACTAGAATAATTAACTAGCTTTTATTTCTGGTTGCTTTTCAAATGTCTTCCCATTCATTATCCTTTTCTTGTTCCTTCAAATGCATATGTTTACTTTTTTTAACTACTCCTTTGTTTCAGCTTAAGAAGATGCTTATGTGTAATTTACTATTATGGCAAAAGCCACATTTTCCCAATCCTATGTCTGTACCTCATTCTCTCCTTTGTTTCCCATTCAAACTTTTTGAAAGTATTGCTTATAGTGTTATCATTTTATTAGCCTACACAATTAGGCATGTTTTCCTGGGGGGCTGCTCAGTAATCACACCGAAACAGGAGTTACTGAAAGGAAAGGTTTGTTTACTTGTGACCGATAAAGAGCCAGAGAGAGGCATGAAGTTCCTTCCTAAACAAGGGTAGGAGAGACGGTCAAGACCCTGTTTACTACATAGAAACAGGAATAGGGAAAGGAGAGAGATACCCTTACAGCTTACCTTGTATCAGTCCCTTTGAGTGCAACTGCAAAATAAGCTGCAACATCATCTAAAAATAACCAAGTTTAAGTCATTAAACTGCTTTAGATCACCTGTTTCCAGTTCTCTTGCCCTCTTTCAGCTTGAATTCTGCACTACTGGTTGCACTTTCAACTCTACTTATTAAAATCTGTTTTCCCTTTCATTCACTGTCCTGTAACCAAGGGTCAGCAATAATCTCTATTTTAAGAAAAAGATAATAATTTTCCATTTTTCTCAAAGGATTTCCAGGAACATTTCTGCTTTTAGGCTGCAGAATTCCACGCCAGACTAAATTCAGCAACTCTTTGTCTCCTTTTTGCTTCCGAGAACTGGCCTTGGAAATTCAGCTTCTCTCCTCCACATCCTGGCAGCTGCCACTATTCATTCTGTTCTTTGAGATTCTCTGCCAGAGTTCAGAGCGAATCCAGCCTCCCTCACATCTGTTCCTTGAAGAATCATTCCAGCATTCTTTTATACTGTTTCTTTTGTTTCTCATTTTGCTGTGTGATTCTCAATTTTGGGGTTTCAGAGTGCAATCTGTGTAGGAATGTCTGCCACACGAAGCACGCTCTTCACCTTTTGACAGTCCCACTCAGAGTATCGTGCTCGCCATCAGTACAAGCATACAGTCCTCAGGAACTTTCTGAGTGCTGCCCCTGGGACTCAGAGCCCTTACCCCAGGTTGAATTGTATGTGTGTGTCTCCACTCTTTCATGGATCTGCATCTCACCATCTTTGTTGTTATAAACCATTTATCACTGGCTCTTTGCACAGTTTCTCATGTGTAGTAGGTACTTAGCAAGCATGGTATGGATGAATGAGGTATTACTATATAAAAGTGACCACCGATGCCTTTTTCTTTCTGCCTAGGGTTATACTTGACAACTGTATCCTACACTTTTCTTAACTTTCGAGATCTACCTGGGTATCTCAATCTCTACAAATCTTTAACAAGAATGGAAAAGAGAAACAGACAAGCACACAGATTACAGCCGTTCCTCTGTCCAGGCCTAATTATTCGCCATTCATCAGTCCTCTAATCAGTAGCACGATCCACTGTACAGGCTTGCATCTTGCAAGTATTTTTCAGTATAAAGCTACTTTTAAGATCTTGCCCATTTTCCTTCCTCAAAACCTTAGACCATGTCTTCACCATTTCTTATTATTTTTATAGTTTATTCATGGTTTCCCACCTTATTTTAATCTGTCTCCTACGGTACTATCAGAGTTATATTTATTCTTTCTCAAAATGTATCTTATTATTGTGAGAGATAGAAATATCGAGGTTCTGTCTGCTAGTTGTCTTCCTACCTTTTGCCAATGGCCAGGTCTGGGTTGGGTCAAAACCAGGAACTGGGAACTCATTCATGGTTTTCCCATATGGGTGGAGGGACTCCAATTTCTTGAGACACTACTGCTGTTTCCTGGAGTCTGTGTTGGCAGTAGAGTTAAGATAAAAATCATTGCTAGATTTCAAACCCAGGTGAGCGGATGTTGGATGCAGGACTTGTAACCTGTAGGCCAAACAGCATCCCCCAGTATTATCAATCTAAAATATAAATTGGATCACTTAACTCTAAATAAATTAACATGATCTATATCTATATCTATACTTTTCTCATAAACTTGCTTACAGGATGGGCAGTAAGATATCTTGTATTGTTTATTATGCAATTGCTTCTATGTTCCTGAACACATCTCTGTTTTAAGTATAAATTATCAAGGAAAGTTATTTGGTCTGGATAACACATGCAGTAAGTGGTTGATCCAAGTCCAAAGATAGACCCAAATGGCATGATTGTATTGCTTTCTTCTCTTATCATTAGAAGTCGCCATCATTTCCCCAAATATTCATGTTTCTTTATGTTTCTGTGATGTTGGTTGTACTGACCATGCTCATAAAATATCTTCTTTGAGTACTTAGTGAACTTTTACTTAATCTTTAACAATTGTCTGATTCTACTTAACCTCAAAGCTTTCTGGACTGACAGTTTCACAATGTATGTTCCCATAGAACATGACAGAAATCCCTTTAATAGTAGCTCAATGACTTAGAATTTAATTGTAAGTGTATTTTTCTAACACCAGGTTACAATATGCAAGAGAAGATTTTTGTGTCATTAATCATTGTAGCTTCTTTTACCTAGCACAGCATCTGGCACAGAACGGATTGGGTTATATTTTACAAGATATTTACTTTAATGTTTGAGATTGTTTTCATCTAAATCTTGAGTCCGTGCATTTAAATATGCTAAGGAAAACATGGCAGATACCAGGCCATAAATTATTTAAACCACAAGCATTGTAACATGTTAATCCTTGTGGTTAGGGACTGTATCTGTGTTTGTGTGTCACTCTATTCAATTTATGGGAAGTAATATATTTTTAATTATGTTTCTTCATTGATTTGGATTTTTAACATCCTGCCTTGTTTCTAAAGAATTTCAAGAAAATACATGCACTTATATACAAATAGGTAAAATGGAATTTAAAGTAGAAAATCAGCAGAAGAGACTCAACCATGTCCACTGGGCCAGCACACTAGCTGTAGTCCAAAGCTGTAATAGTTGAGATCCACATTCTGAATATCTTACTGAGCAAAGCAGCACAAAAGGGGATAAAATTATTTTTTTATACAGAAAATGGAAACATGAGAGAGAAAATGTTTTCCTTACATTGAAATCATTTTCTTAAAAAATAAAACATTCTGTGAATCTTTCTGTTAGGGAAAACTGATACTGTAGCAAGTGATGTCAGATTTTTCCCAATAAATGCTGTAATGAATTTCATATTGATGTTTCTTGTAGTCCCCTTCAATAAAAGCTGAAGTCATTACACTAACATACAACTCAGTGAAGGCAATTCTTCAAGGAGCTAATCTAATATGGTCCAAGGACCTAGCTATCTCATGGCCCAGTTTAACCCAAGGAAAGACTTTAGCGTACTTAGAGAAGTGGATGGACTGTTTAACCTTCCAACAATATTCTGTAAGTATCCCTTTTCTCAGTCAGGATGGTTTTGAGACAGCTAACAGTAACATTATCTGACCAGGGAGCATGTTGTTGTTTTACAAGTAATGGGCTTTTTGGTAGCCACAGTCACTGTAAAAAGGCAACATGTTCTGGTTTCAATATTTTCTATAAGAGCCTCTTTTTTTTTTTTTTTTGTAAGGGACCATCTCTGAGGTTAGTTCCAATTCTGAAACCGTGCAATTGTGATTTTCATTTATATGCTAGCTCACTTCACTAATAGGTATCTTTATTTTAGCTAGGACATTTGTTCAGATTACAAGCAATTTTATTTTCTCTCCCTCTCGAAGGAAGTTAAGACTGAACTGCCACAATGCTGTAAGATACTTCAAATTTTTTTAAAATTTCACATTTTATAATATATAATCAGACACCTGTGTATTCCAGATCCTGTAAAATATCATTTACATAAAAGAAAATAAACTGATATGGGTATATTCCTCTTGTATTTCAACTAAGTGTCAATATAACTGTCAACAGACTTTAGTGTGTAATAGCTTGCTTATCCACCCCAGGTAGTACATAAAAATATATAACTTATTGGTTTTGTTTCTAACTCACGTAAGTCCAGTTTTCAAACTTTTGTCTTTCAGTCACAAGTGAAATAACTTTTACAGCCATTTTTTATTACTTGAATTTATTTTATTAGTCCTCAGTCTTCCATACCTGTAGATAGTGTTACTAAGGACTTTCAACATGATTGGATAAAAGCATTATAGAATTAGTTATGAGATTGTGTTTCTACCCATCTAGCAAAGTATGCCTTATGTAAAGTGTCTCACTTTAAACTTTTTATTTTACCTGTATACAATTATGTCTTGTACCTGGCATTCATTTATCATTGGGTAAAGTTCTTTTTGAGTATGCTGTGCTCCAGAAACTGTGCTAGAGGCTGTGCAGGACAGTTTGTGTTTTCCAAAAGCTTACAGTTCATTGAAAGAAGAGGAAAGGAAAATTGAAAGGAATACCTACGAGTGTTCTTACAGACAAACAACATACAGCCCTGGAAGGACCAACAAGTGCCTGTTAATGTAGGCAACAAGAAGTGTATCTTCATGGCTGTGATTTTGATGGAAACAAAGTAAAATGCATCTGACTTGGGAACAACTCAGAGTTAGTTAGGACTTTCTTCTTCAATGGTAGCATTATTAACAGATGAAAAAATTATAGGCAGTGTATAGTTTGCAGAGAAAGTGAGTATAAATTTAAACTGAGTGAATTTCTTGATGTTTTGCGTTTTTATTATCTATAGTACATGTGCGTGTAGAAGTCCATTGAAATGATGGTAGTTAAGAATGATGAAATGTTACTGCAGCAATTACCCCCCTGTCTAGGTATTATGCCTCACAGGATTGCCTAAAACGAATAGAAAATAATTGTGACTTTTTCTGCATTTCCTCAATTCTCCAGCCAGTTGACTTGGATTTTAACTTTTAATGCTCCATTTTTATTTTGAAACTTCAGACGTTTAGCCTGTACTTATGCATATTTTTGGAAACGTGTGACCTTATTCTTCAATTGATATGAAGTGCCCTTAGTGCTTTAAAGTATAAATACAGAGCTAAATGAAAGTATAGAAAATTGGGCAATGAGAACTGCCAGAATTTTTCTAGTTTTCAAAGGAAACCAAAATTGTAAAAGGTCATGGGCATTGGCATTCCAGTTTCTTTCATGGTGAGTAATGCTTCGAAGAGTTATGCAGTAGATTTCAATGAGCTGCTTCTTTTCAAAGGGTCCATTAATTAAAGTAAGATAAAGTCTAGTAAGGTTCAAGTCATGTGGCCAAAGAATCCAACCTGCTGCTGGTCTGGGCGAATCTAAAGCCTTTTTGATATTCAAAGAGGTCTCAAAAATACAATTTCTTTCAATCCTGTTCTTTTTCATAGTCATAAATAGTGACTAGGATAAGATACTATCTCTTGGTAATAGTTTATTATGCATAGGTTTAATGCTGTAACTACTTGATCATTTGAAGAAAGAGGTTTTGGAAGACAGAAGAATTGTGAGTCAGTTATGAATTCATTAGTAGTTTTCCTGTGTATATATTTCCTTTTCAATGAAGAGGAACTGTTCATTTGTACTGTAGATTTGGGCAATTATTTTCAAAGGCACCTACGGGAGTTATTTTCTCATTTGAAGCTAGACATTGTAAAAATCTTAGCCAAAATACATTGTGCTCCTATGGTGCGGATTTGGGAAGATGTAGTGCCGCGAGACTGCCCTGTCCTCATTCAGAAACTTCATAAGCAGTTACAGGTGCCAAGCACTGGGACCTTGATTAAATATAGTACTTGTGTGTGTGTGGTACATGTTGCTTTAAATTGGCCCTTTGTGAAACTCCAAGGCAGAATTTTGCAGCCAAAAGCAACACCTTAAGTGCTGGGTAGTGCTGGGCCTGCTTCTGAGTTTGTATTTATTTCCCCTCTTTGTGTGTGTGTGTGTGTGTGTGTGTGTGTGTGTGTGTGTGTGTGTGTTTTCCATTGCCCGTTACACTCAGAAATTGAAGCCATACTTGGAAAAATAAGAAAAAAAAAGAGTAGTTTTCCCCTTCATAGACAAGGTGATAAATATCAGCAACATATATTAGAATTATTTTTTTAACATAGCCTTTATACAATGCAATGTTAAGGTTAAAATATGCAATTCACAAATATGTGTGGCGGACACTTGTTCAGCTCATAGGGTTGTGCTGGATATTTGTAAACAGGTCCATTCTGACTCGTCAGTGGCCGGACTGTGTCTTCTGACTGATTTCGTCACTCAGGTCCACAGTGTTAAGCACATTTTTACTACCTGTGATTATCTGGGCAGTTGAAGAGTATCTCAGTGCCTCGGTATTAGGGTTGGCAGGGAGGAGCCTGGAAACGTGTACATTTTTGTGTGTCAAAGAATGTTTTAATTTCTATTCCCATGTAAGTGTCCCACTTTCATAAAAATCTTTCTTGTGCACTCCCATATGACACATATCCCTTTTTATTCCAAACACATACTAAGTTATATTACCTATGCATTTTATATGACAGCAATCATTGTCTAGTTTGTAGTAGTTGGTGGTCACTGCATCCCACCAGCAGAGATCGCAGTATTTCTATTGATTAGACTAACCCTGGTGCATTTGTTTATCACAGCAGTTCCAGATTGCTGTGGTATATTATTTTACTTTATTCAAAGTAGAAACTGAAGCAGGGAGAGGTAAAAGAACTTTCCCTAGGCCCGGATTCCTTTATAAATGTGCTTGTATGCTACTTTAGATGATGTTTAGATATAATTAACATAATGTAAGTGCTATATATTATACATTATATGGGTTAAAGAATTCTTGGGGAAAATAACCTAATGATATAAGATGATATGAGCTTTTTTTTTTGGAAAAAAAGTTATTCCTGAGTTTTGAACAGCTTTTTCAGACTGGAAGTGTTGCAGTACTATTTAAAAGTAGAGATATGAAAGCCAGATACAGCTAAGTAGTATTCATTCAGCCCATTTAGTGGACAGGAAAATAGTCAAGTCACAAAACCTCTTTAATGTACATTCATGATTTCATTTCCATTTACTTATAACCTAGATGAATCTTGGAAATTACTTCCTATCCAATTGGAAGGATTCTCAAAGATGCCATCTCAGCTTATCCTGCAGCCTGACATATCCTACCACCATTCTGCATTTGCAGCAGGTGGACTACATGCATCAATAGGAAAAGGAGCTTTCTTACAGGTCTTACAGTTATATGTGTTAGTGCCCCATCGCTCCTGTTAAATAAAAACCAGCTCTGCAATAATCTCTTAACAACAAAGGAAAGAGGAGTGGGCAGAACTCAAAGAAAAAAAAAAGATGTATGGACAGTACAGGAGTTAGATCTTTGAAACTTTCAGAGTTCTTTTGTTATTTTATCTATTTTGAGAACTCCTAATTAAAATAAATGATGCCTGAAATTCTGTCTCAGAAACTTTTTTATGGAAACCATTTGCGTTCCACATTTAAACTCATAGAAAAAATGAGAGGAAATTAACTGATCGTGTGAATAACAGGGTGGGAGTAAGGAGTTCTAAGCTAGGGGAGTAGCACAGCCAAAGGCACCAGGGCAGGCTGAATTTTGAAAACTAAAGTCATTTTGAAAGAATCAGTAAACAGTAAGTAAAAATGATACTTGATGCTAAGGTCCTTGAAGAGCATTTAAGAGATTTATGGCTTGGAGTGACATGATCCAACACGTGTTTTAAGAGGATCCATGGGGTTATGGCGTATCTATGATAAGATTTGTCAGGCCGAGAAGAGCACAAAGGAATATTGTACGTTGCAGACAGAAGGCGATAGTAACCCAGAAGAGCTGGTGATGGCTCAACTGGAAGTAAAACAACATGAGGGTGACCTAGGCAAAATCCGGGAGTTTGTGTTTTATTTTACTTTCTTCCTATGATTTTCTTTTTTAATGTTTTTTTCCACTGCTACTGCATAAGATGACTATAGTATCTATGTAAGGTTACTATATTTTACTATTTGAGTAAAGCAGACCCTGTAATATATAGACTATGTACTGTGTGGATATACGTAAATTTTATCAAATTGGAAATCTGGGCTCTTCCACTATAGAGGACAATTCCACTTGTTAAAATAGTTTTCTTTGCATTTCACTGCTTCATTCACGGATTCAGTCAGCAGATATCTGAGTGATTTTTAATAGTGGAAACCAGTGTTGTATTATGAAGTAGAAAATTTTCCATTGCTTATTTTCTGTGAAAATAACAACAACAAAAAAATAATTCTCTGAGGAAATTGTAATTTTAATTTTATGCTGGGGATTTCCTCACTCTAAATGTCTCTAGATTTTATAGATTCGTGTCCATAGGTTTCTTTTTGGTATCAAGATATTTTTCTTCAGAATTTGAATTGGAGTTCAGAAAATGTGCAGTATCAGGCTCAACCCACACTCTGTTCATTTTTGTATTTTTCAATAGAAAAAAGAGAAAGCCTCTGTCATGATACAGAACAACGCTTACGCCGTGGCAGTTGCCAATTACGCCCCGAATCTTTCCAAAGACCCAGTTCTCTCCACCATCTCCAAGAGCGCCACCACGCCAGAACCCAACAAGAAGCCGGAAAACAAGCCAGCGGAAGCCAAGAAAACCTTCAACAGTGTCAGCAAAATTGACAGAATGTCTAGAATAGTTTTCCCGGTTTTGTTTGGTACATTTAATTTAGTTTATTGGGCTACATATTTAAACAGAGAGCCTGTATTAGGAGTCAGTCCTTGACTCTAGATGTTAGTTGTGTTGGGATGTACAGCTTCATTAAATTCGGTTTGTTTTACTGTAAACAGTTTGACTAATAACTGCTAATTTATGAAACCAACATGTATAGTCTGTATATACTGGTAGAGCTTACCTGTAGACCTTTAATGGAGATACGCATTTGTTAACTCATGGAACCATGAGCGGAAAGCACCCCCATACCAAAAGAGCCATTGCCTTTCAAAGAGACTTGACCTTAAGATGAACTTAATTTCTTACTCTAATATTGTTTAAAAAAAATGCAGTTTCTGTGTCATCCTTTAAGGACACTTTTGATTTAGGTCTTAAATAGAAGTGTCTTCTTGTGTGACTGAATTATGGTGGGACATAGCATCATTCAGTGATGAGTTGTCCTAAATAGCAGTCTCTCTTCACAACATGAATTCCCATGATGAGTGCTTCAAATCCCTGCTAGTAAAATTGAATGCTTGGCCCATATATCAAGAAAAGCTAGAGTTCTTAAAGCAGCTTTTAACTATTGTGTATAGTGTCTATAGCCATGTACATATTACAGCATGACAAGTTCCAGTACTTACATGAGTCTCCCTGACCAGATGTTAATTATGCCTATGATACAGTGACTTTTGGAATGTCATGATCATTACATTTTTAGCTTCAGATTTTATTTGAAAGTATTAATTGAAATCTTATTTCACTCATTGGAAACTACCTGAAATTTAAAAATATACATATAATAAATGTGTCTTACTCCTTCCAAGTATGTGTTGTATTGAAATTGATCAGCTAAATTTTCTTGGTGCTGGAGACCGGACAGGTGTGCCTGCTGTGGAGCAACGTTCGTAATGGATTAGAAAACTGTGCCAAAAACTCCCATTGATGAGAATCCATAGGTGTCCCCAGCTTCAGATGAGCACTTCTATGATTCTCCTCTTTCCTGTTTACTGCAAGTTCTGCCTTAAGGCTTCTTTTCATCAGGACTCAGGAGCCACTCATTATAAAGGAAAGGGCAGTGCATTGGCACACTTTTCTGTCTTGAAAGTAGCTCTTTCAGATAAGAATTCATGTAAATCTGCCTTTGTAAATTGCAACTTTAAATTTCGCTGACTCAAATTTACAACAGCTTTGTATACTAGAAGTGGTTTTGGTAAGAGTTCTCAACATTTTTAAACTGCAACTTTAATGCGTCACTGACAGATTGTGGATTATCTCACACGCACAAACGTGAACACACATAGAGATTAGAAATCACAATTCTCAATTTTATATACTACAAATGATCAATTAATAAATTCATTTTCTTTTAATATCTAAAAATACTCTTTATGCCCCCAGAGTATGGTAATAAACATTAACAATTGTGTATTATGCTAGATTCAAAGTTTTTGGCAAACCTAAAACACTTTTGATTGACATGTGCATTAGCAGTTATTAGTTGACTTTTACTAATAGATGCACCTTTCTGGTGATGTTTTTGTAGAAACACAAGTAGTCAAATAGTGGCATTTTCTGCAGTTTTGTAAAGTATTTGAGTGTAGTGCATAAATAGGTTTGTTCATAAAATCAATAAAAAATATGGAACTTAGCAAAGTCTCAACAAAAGTTGCTTTTTCTTTCCCTCCTTTAGGCTCTTCGTTTGATTTCATTTTCCTTGTTTTTATGTGATTAGATTATGCGCTGGGCATGATTGCATTATTACCAGGGTCACAAATGCATCTTTTTTTTTCTCACCAGATTTTACTGTAAAGACAGCCTTGACATTGAACATTCCCTCACAAAATAGAACCTGAAATCCTTGATTAAATACAATTATGTGAAATTGTTACATGAGCTAATAAATGTATTTTTTTTCATTTCCCTGAAATAGCACCTTCTTTGTCAGCTCGGTAGTTTTAAAAGCTGCATTTTTTCCCTTCGCTGAAATGACAGATATCCGTTTTTCATAAACTTTGACATGCAGCATTGCTCGTCTGTTGATGGAAGTGCTGAATAGTATGAGGGAATATGGTTGGAAGCAGGCCAGCAATAGCAATGCTCTGTGTGACAGGCATCGTTAACACTTTAAGGATTTGCTCCTTGTAAAGCCATCTCCCACCTAATGTCCAACTACCAATTACACAATTATAAATATGTACATGTGTAAAAATGTTTGTAAATAAATGTTTCTGTAGTTCAATGGAAAAACTCATCTGTACCTTGGGCACGGGGCTGCAGCTACACTCATGGCATCGGTTTTAGGAGTGTTTATGGCATAGTGTCATCTCATGGTTAGGATTGCTACTTGAAACAGTTGAATCAATTATTATAATTTCACCGTTAAGATTTTATTTGATCATTGACAGCTTAGATTTTCCAATAAGGTAGATCAAAACTTACTATTTCTCAAATTTTAGTGTAGTTTTTACACTCTTTTTAAAAACTTGTATTTAATTTATTTTTATTTTTATTTTTTGATGCTATTCCATAGGCTCTTGATTTCCATTACTCTCTCCCTAAATTCCCTCCCCCCACACTGATTTTCCCTGTATCGTTACATAAGTATAGTTTTTCACAAACAGTCATAAGTCCATCATTCTGCTATTCTCTTAAAGCTCATCAAAATGCACTTTAAGTTCTCACTGACAAAAGAAAGGATGTTCCACAACAAAGAATTCTAAATTCTTTACAATTTTTTTCCATTCCACAAGCCTATTTAAAAACACAAAGTAAAAAAGATCTATGTTTGCCGTAAGGCCTATTCTTCAGAAAACACATTTTTGTGTACTGACATGGATTTCTTTGGCCCCAAAATTGCACTTAAAATTATGCAGGTATGCAATGGTATAAGGATTATGGTATGTACAAAATGTAGATAAATAAATGTATGTGTAGAGAAATATAAATTAACTAGCACAGAATAATTATATCAGTCAATGTTTCACCATTTTTATATGTCATGCCCTGAGGTTGGTGTTAATGTCACTCATAGAATTTAGTGTCACCTATAGAATTTATAGAAAATTTACACTGTATCTGATTCCTATAAAAACTTAAAATAAGAGACTAGATGAAATATGTAAATAAGTGTGGTTCTAAGAGTTGATTAGTGAGTTTTGATACTATTAGTGTGCAAACATCTCTTTGACCATAGAAACAGACCTAATGTGACCATTTACTGCATTTTTTAACTCTTCGGTAAATTTAAATGGCAGTTTATTGATCAAAAATATTCCCAGGGATCTCTAGTTCAAATTTATCTCAGGATTTCCTTGAATCACGTTTCTAATCTTATTTTTTGATAAAATCATAGTTTATTTCAAAGCAACATGAAAAATATTATTTCGTTTTTTTATTTTTCCTTAATAAGTAAATTAGTTAAGATATAGATCCACCTATTGTATCTATCTATTCTTTTTTTTTTAAGATGTATTTTTATTTTTGTTGGAAAGGCAGATATGCAGAGAGGAGAGACAGAGAGGAAGATCTTCCTTTGGATGATTCACTCCCTAAGTGAGCGCAACGGGCCTATGCTATGCTGATCCGAAGCCAGGAGCCTCTTCTGGGTCTCCCACGCGGGTGCAGGGTCCCAAAGCTTTGGGCCGTCCTCGACTGCTTTCCTGGGCCACAGGCAGGGAGCTGGATGGGAAGAGGGGCTGCCGGGATAGAACCGGCGCCCATATGGGATCCTGGGCGTGCAAGGTGAGGACTTAACCACTTGTGCCACCGTGCCGGGCCCGTATCTATCTATTCTTACAGGTAGATGTTTATCTCAAATGGTCTAATGTTTCATCTCTCATTCCTGGTTTTGGAAACTGAACACTACCTTGATGTTATTATGGTCGCTAGAATGGCACCAGAACTTTACTGGGGCACAGCCTGACATGACTTCAATGATGGGAGAATAGAAGAAGCTTGATAATCGACATTTGTATTTTCCCCATAGTGAAGGTCTCCAGACATATTTCTGTGAAGCATATAAGTATGTATTACTTAATTTGAAATCTGGGGCATATTAATAGTTTACTAAGCGAGGGAGAGCCATCATTAGTGTCTGGCTCTCCTGTATTCATCTGGGTACTTTTGGGGAACTTGGAGTAGTTTTTCTTATAAAAAGATTCAAAACTTTGAAATACCATTTCACTCATTATTTTCTTACAGTGTAGTTTGTTTTTCTTTTAACTAATGTCCCAAGGAACTTTTATTAATTCATAGTATTTAGGGCATAGCATTTAAACTGAGTTTAAGTATAGTTATTTTGAACATCTGCATGCTTATAAATCACAACATTGTACTAAAATTATTTCTATTATGTGAACAAGATAAATTATGGTACTTTGTATTGAGTATTTAATTCATGCATTAAGTGAAAAATCATCATTTAATAAAATTATTTATTTCATAATATTTGATATATAAATTTATATTTAAATATATTCATATTGTCTTTGTTATGAAAGAACTTTTCTTTTCATTAAATTTACAGAGGAGAACGTCGAAGGAAATATTAAGGATAAAAACTCACAGTGAGACTTGTGTTGTTGCTAATTAAACCAAACGGAGTACTCTATTTTTATCTCGTAAAACTAAACTGTAAATGCACATTCATATTCAGTGATATTTTAACAGAATCCTTATATCACAATGAGCATTTTGATGAAAACGTTAATGTAGAGGACGTTCAACTGAAAGTCATTTTTAAAGACAATAATAATTCATCCAAAGTTTGTTTTCCATAAAAATAATGTGAGAGCACGTTGCCTGTTAAAATTCCTAATTATCAACACTTTCAAACCACTGTGTCTCCCGTGGTAGGTTGAGATATATTGTTTGTAATGTTTTGTACAAGGAACATGTTCTCTCATAAATGATTTATTCTCTGTACCATGTTGTAATCAATACCTAACATCAGTTAAAACTGCCAGTATAGAAAAACAATGATTAGGTCTGTTTGCATTTATTGTAATATTCCTAAAGAAGTTTTAGTTATGCTTTAGCTTTGTCTGTGGAGTGTGTGTATGTGTGTTTGTATGTGTGTGTATATTACAAAGCACATATGAAGTAATGTTTCAAGAAACTCTATTTATGATAAATATTTATTTTGTTAATATATGCAATCACATGTCACTGTTATTAACCTAGTGAGTAACTTAGTTAACAGAGTGTTTTTTTCAGTAGATCCACAACATATTAATTAGACTTGAGACGTACATATTTTTATACAGACCCTTCTAATAATGATATATACATGCTTCCCATATATTTCTAGTTGGTTCTTTTGAACCACAAAATTAAACATGGTCTTACAATACTACTTTATAGGAGAAGACAGAAAGACCTCTGAGTCACAAGCTTTTTTCAAACAATTTTGGAAAATCTCTTTGAAAAAATGAATTTTTTTCTGGTTGGTCTCTTGCAAGCATCAAGTCGTGAAAATCCATTACCGTTGGATTCATATCTTAGTTTTTAATTGAAAAGATTCTGAATACTTTCTTAATGAGATCATTACATTAGATAATATTCTAGTCCCTTTACAAACATTGCCTGACTGAGTCATCAAAGCGATTGTAATCACTGTGTGAGACTCAAAGTTCTGGAAATCTAGAATTTCTATCTAGAACACCACTACACAGTGTAAAATCCAGTGCCAGAAAAATTAAAGGAAATGATTTTTTTTTCTTTTAATTCAAATTTCTATCCAGACTCTTTTATGAAGGTGCATCTGATAAAATGACTGCTGTCTACTTTTCTATATGACGAAACCAAGAACCCTGTACGTGGTAACCAAATATTCATCTCTGTAACACTTTTTATTCACTAATGTAGCTTACAGTTTGGTTCCAGAAATACATGAGTCTTTTTGAACATAATTAATAATCATGTATGTTTTAAAATTCCCAAGCACACAAAAGACAACACCTCTCTGTTTAATTTCTTCCATTCCCCCCCCCCCTTAATTTTTCCAGTTTTGTTGGTGGTAAATAGATCTAGTTTTCCTTTGCCATATTGTTGGTTTCATTACATTTAAAGTCACCAAACACTGGGAGAATTTTTTTGTGATTTACTCAAATATAGTTTTGTAAATCAGTATGTATAAAAGCCAAATTGATCCCAAGTTAGTGCCACTGATGAGACAGTGTGAAGGTTTCAGTCATTCATGCTTCACTTTCGAAGTCTTACTTTACAAATCATGTCTGTAGATTGTGGGACTATAATGTTGGAGGAATCTTGGTACTTCCAGCAGGATACGTTTGTAAAAACAAGTAGTCTCAGGAAGTTGCAACAAAGGAATTAGTTCTGATGCAACACTTTATACATTTGTTCCCAATGTATCTAGTTTTGATACAATCAATACAGTAATTAAACCACACTCTGCTTTAAAGTCAGCTTAATGTGTAAATAAATTTCAAGAGTTATTAGAAAATGAAAAATGAATTGTTGAGCCACCTTTTTAAAAAAAAATTACCAAAGCTCCTTTTTTTACCAGAAGGTCTTGGGTGTGTCTGTCATATGTGGTTTTAAGTTTGTTTGTATCACATTTGTAGTCATAATTTCCTAAGAAAACACAAATTGAAATTTTGAGGACTCCAGGCTTTGGAGTGTGA